GAGAGGTTAGCTCTTCTCAACAAAACCCTCAAATACCCGGATTCCTTCCAACTTACTTTTCTACAATCCTTAGGAAGTACCCTTATCTCCATAGTTTAAGGTAGCATCCATATTCCAGATATAAAGTGGAGGGATGAACAAGAAGAAGTAAATGACACTGGCTCAAGATAGTTTTCTGGAAGCTGGGAAAGTCTTATACATGATTTTGGGGTAGAAATTAAGGAAAATATCTAAGTTGTACTTCTAGAGCAACACCAGAAATAGGGATGACACTGGAAAGAAGTATAGGAAGACAATCTATTAATGGAGCTAAGCAAATATGTGGGATCCTGAAGCCCAGGCTAATGTAAAAATTGGCAGAATTTGAAGATATCTCGAGGAGGTCTTTGTGGAGTAGGGATTTCAAAACAATGCCTCTTAGATCCTAAAGAGAAGAGGCCACAGATAATATGTGGGTTACAGTACAAATCAGACATTCTAAGACCAGCCCTGCAAGCTATCCTAAAATATCCCCTATCATGATGCTACTCTTGATTTTTCTCCAAGTTGAAATTTCTACCCATAGAGACACTCTTTGGGGCCAGACAATAATAATGTTGTCTCTAGAAGGTTGCTGTCAAATGCCATCTGGAAGGAGAGAGTGGCAGAGAGGACATAGTAACCAGATAACACTTTCACTTATATCCTGTTGACCAGAACATACTGCCAAGACCACCCCTAGCTGCAAGGAATTCTGAGCAACATGTTTGTCCTGAGTAGCCACGTGCCTGGAAGATATTCTATTTCTATATAAAAAGGCTTGGCAGCTTCTTATAAAGTTAAATCTACCCAGCGATTCCACTTCTAGGTATTTACTCCAGAGAAATGAAACATGTTCGCACAAAGACCTGTAGGTGTCTCAGTTTTGCAAGATGAAGTTCTGAAGACTGGTTATAAACCAGTATTTGTGCATGTATTTGACATCACTGAACGGTACACTTAAATATGGTCAAGATGGTAAGTTTTATGTATATTTTACCATTTAAAAGGGTCGACAATTAACATCTTGTATTATCTTTGTGCATTTAACTTATGCCCCTTATTGAGCCCTGACTTTCCTGCCTCCCTGTCCATTCAAAGCAGACTTTTACCCCTTGAGTTCCCCAGAGAAGAAACAACCCTTTCTTTCTTTTTTAGCTAACCACCTATATTTGAACTCATATGTAAGATGGTGCTTCACTATCTTTTTTTTTCTCTTGCTAATCATATGTTATCGCTGAGGAAGTGAAGGTACTGCTGAGAAGCAGGAAGAAGGTTTGTCTTTTAGACCACAATGGCACACTTAGATGTCACAGAAAATATTTTATGCATGAACTGATGAAGTAAATCACGTGAGCTGCACATTTCTTTTTTTTTTTGAACCATCAACATACACACAAACATATTTGCACTTACTCAATGTACGATGTTTGAGATAGCGTTGAATAAAAGTTACATTTGCATTGCCCACAGAGAGGGGTTTCTAAGCAATGTAGTAGCGATGACTTCAGCAAAAAGGCAGAGTACTGATCAATCTTTGAGAACTCTACCACTGATTTTTGTAAATTCTGGTCCACAAACAATTAGTATCCCACCATCATGATATAGAAATAGTGCCTTCATATCCCTAAAGAATACATTTAGGCAACAAATTGTTAGCTCTATTTAAGTTATATACAGTCAAAGAAAAACAGTTTCATACACTGTGTATTTGTATCTCATCAAAGCACCCAACAGTGCTTTGCCCACAGGAAGTAGTCAATAAATGGTTATTGAATTTAGAATGTTCTTCTTTCAAATCAGTGAAGTTTAATATATTTTCAATTGGAATGCTTATTAATGTTTTTCAGCATTTGTAAGCCTTTAAAAATCCATTAGATGTGTTTAAGTGTTCACATTAAATACTACTATATGCGATTAAGAGAATACTGTTAAATGAAGCATGCTTATTCAACACACCAGTAGCCATTGATAAAATGTAATTTAATTTAATCATTTAAATTTACACTGTTAATGTACAAGAGCATTTCTTTCAAACCACAGGTTAACACACACTAAAGAGCAATGCTGTTTGAGGAGCAGAGAAACTCTGGAAAACTCTGCTGTCTGAAATAAAAGCAAGGCACTCTCCATTAACAGCTGGTGGATTCCTGATTTCTGCCCCCAGAAGGCATGTTCACACTGAGAGAGCTCTTCCACAAGGGAAGAATCACCTGCTTTAATTCTTGCTGTCCTCTTCTGAGCTATTTGGTCATCCACTCTGTATAAACTTGTGTGTCAACATTAAGACAAAAAAAGAGTTGAACTGATAGATGACTTGGGAGGCTCTCATAGTTGTAATAACTATGGAAGACAGAAGAACACTGGCTATAATTTTATTTTCAGCACTAGTGTTTGGACCTATAACTAAAAATCTTTTTCATCCCTTCCAACCAATCGATATCACTGCTAAAAAGTTTTTTCCTTAAATCTGTAAGGTGTAAAAATAAAAAGTAACAGCATTTCTCTGGAGCTCTGTTTTTTTTTTCTTTTTCAGACATGACAAAAAAACAAGGATTGACTTTCCGATACTAACAGTGCACAAAAGGGTTATGTATGCACAATACTTCTAATTTATTCAAATTCAATTTGAATTTGGTCTGAAGCTACCTTTTATGACATGTTAGTTTTCCTGATATTTAATAATGTTTATTATGTTTGCATATAAGCTCAAAACATTAATGCAAAAGTACTACTTTAATTAAGGTTATCATCAGGTAAAATGTAAGTATTAGTGGTTATCTTTAAAAGCCTGTTTTCCTATAAATACAGTAAATTGAGTAAAAAAAAAATCTATGGAAAGAAGAATTTTGTCCTAATCTTGATTCTGGTACTAGCTATTTGAACTTCGATAACTCTTTACCCTTTGCCGGGCCCCAGTTTTCTCCTCTATGAATTTCAGCGGTGCGGGGGGTGGGGTGGACTAGTTGACAAGTCAGGCCCCTTCCAAGTCAAACATTCCAAGATCCTATTATCTTGATATAAAAATAATAATCTTTCATAAAAGCTCACAAACATAATACATGATCAAATATCAGAATGACTTGGAAAAAACATATATGATTTGCTATCTGGTTTATCCTTTGCAGCAATAGGCAATTCATTTGGCATGTTTTTGATTGTATAATTTAATGACAATATAAACAGTATAGTTTTGTTACTTTTCCTTTAAAAAGACTAACGCAAAAATGAGTTAAAGCTAACAAAAACTACTGTGACATCCATTTGACATTCAAAGTTTGTTTCTTAGCAAAATGGCCAAGGATATTTTGACTTGATACAGAATATATAATATAAAGACTTTTAGACTTAAAAATCTTCAAACATCATTTGAATTTAGCAAAACATAAGCAAAATTTTAATATCAAAGTGCTAAACAGTACTGCCTTAAAAGTCACTGCAAATGAACCATAAAATAACTGCATGAGAATTAACATTTATTGTACAAATGGTTAATAAAAAGACACATTATAAATATATATGTAACCTGCTATATTTATATATATATTTGCTTATTTAATTTCTAATTGGTGTATCCAAGTCACTGTGAACACCTCATTTAAGTACT